TTAGTTTTGTTCAAGGTACGTGTGTGCCAAGTGGCATGTTCCTACTAAAATTTGCAGTGGGGGTGGAGTTAGGGAGCCCACTATAACATTCTAGTACTTTACTTCTACTTTTACTTTTATCCGCCGCTTATAGTTATACGCTTTTGGGTGTCGCGGGAAGAAAGAGACGTCTCTCTGCCACCAGCCGGAGAGCTTGGGTCAGTGGGATGCCGTGAGTTGTTTGTGTTTCCCTGACTCCATCTGTCCAGGTCTGTCTCGTCGCCCTCTAGAGCCTCTAGTTCTAGCCTTGTTGCCATTGAATTTTGTAAATGTAAGCTCGTTGTGCTGGATGATGTGTTGGTAATCGCACGAGATGTCTGAACCATTTGATTCCTTAGTGTTGGATGTGATGCATAACAACATTATAATTAATATGTGCCCTCCTTCTCTTTCGTTATAGATCTAATTGAGTTTCTAAATTTTGTCTCGCCTGGTCTTGTTTACTGCTTTTCTAAGACATCGCATTTCAATTTCACATGTGTAATTGGTCGCTTTTAAATTAAAATTTTAAGGACAAGCGGGCTAACCCAGATTTCGGGGGTTTCCAGAAATCTTAAACTACACCAAAAGTGGGCTTTGCCCTAACTATAGGAGAAGTTTGGTTTCTTTGGTGTGTATAATTGTTTAGTTGTGTTATAGTTAAAGAAACTGAACAAGGGACAAAAAGCTTTACCTTTGATTTTCTCAAAACAGCGTTTTTCGGGATAGCCCCCCTTGTGCTTAAAACCGACCAATTCTATACTCTGTCTAGTTCGTGGTCCATGTTTGGTATTGATGATAAGTGAGTGTTGGGATGAATATGGTGTTGATCATTTTGAGTTTTGTTGTCATGGAGTATGGAGATGTTAGGATGTTTCAGTAATGTAGTAAGCTGGTAACTAACATTATTGGCCTTTTGTACTCGTGTTTCAATTTCCCTGTTCAGTCGCCCATCCTCTGTGAATATACTTCCGAGGTACTTAAATTCTTGGACTGTCTGAGACTTGTTGTTGATGTGTATCCTGAGTGGTCCTGGCTTTCTGCTTACTTTCATTGTCTCTGTTTTGTTGATGTTGATCTTCATGTCGTAGTTGTAACATTAATCTGGAGGTGTGGTGTTGGAGACTTCGTTCATCTTTGTGTGCCAAGCTTTGGTCATCAGCGAAGAGTAATTCACGTAATAACATAGAAGTTGGCCTCTTACAACTTACAGTGTAGTTTTCGAGTTCTTTCCACATTGTTTCTGTAGTAACACTATAGTAGTAGTAGGCTAGTCACTCTAGTAACACCTGAAATCTTAGTCTTAGGCACACGACAAAATCTTTTTAACTTGTATTTTTTCCTCTTCTTTTTTCTCCCCTTTTGAGGGGTGGGGGGTGGGGAAGGGGTGGTTAAATTATTATCACAGACAGATTTTCCTTTGTCCATCCGAAGCCAGTGGTCAAAGATAGGTCGGAGAGGTACTCGCACCCCCCCCCCCCCCCACACACACACCTTCCTCTCTCGCTATCTTTCTCTCTCTCTCTCTCTCTCTCTCTCTCTCTCTCTCTCTCTCTCTCTCTCTCTTTCTCTCTCTCGTCCCCCTTTGGAGCTCTCTCCCACTCTTATCGTTCTCTTTCTCTGTACCCCCCCCCCCCTCACGTCTCTCTCTCTTTCTCTCCCCCCCCCCCCCTCTCTCTCTCTACCGCCCCTCTCTTCCGTTCGCTCTCTCTCGGTCTCCTCGCTCTCTCGAAGATAGACCTCTCTCTATATCCATCCATCCATCCATCCATCCATCCATCCATCCATCCATCCATCCATCCATCCATCCATCCATCCATCCATCCATCCATCCATCCATCCATCCATCCAACCAACCATCCATTCGTCCTTCTCCCACTCCCTCTCCCACTTCCTCTCCCTCTCCCCCCCTCTCTCCCCCCTCTCCCCCCCCCCTCTCTCTCTCCATGTGTTTCACTAAGAGTAAGAGAGGGCCACGATGGGCGGCCTTGACAGTACCTGGTCTAGGATATTAGCTTTCAAATCTATGGTGTGCAGATATATAAATATATAGATGTAGATAGATATAGATATATATAGATATAGATATAGATATAGATATATATATTCATTTTTGTTGTTTAATTTTGTTCGTTTTAGTTATAGGGAGAGTTGTAGTTAAATATATAGCTATAGCAACGTAGAAAGCGTCATGCACAAATCTGATTTTAAAAGATGACTTTTATTTTCAAAAGAAATGTGTTACAGTTACAGAAAAAAAGAAGAAAAAAGAAATATGTAATGATTATTCCCAAATTGAACTCAGACTCAGACAGCACAATGGATGAACCAAAATCTTCGGCATCATAGCGACAGGGTTCACTCCCTCCCCTGAAATAGAAACAAGAATAACTGTTGTTATGTTATTTATCGACGTGCGTTTATCTAGAACTGTTTTTGATTTATTTAAAGCAAAAGCAAAGCTTCATTAGCCAAATTAGGTCTAAAATTGTGCAACGCAAAAAAAAGTTAAAGCATGTGCAAGAAATAGTTCTTATGGCTTGGCTATGTTTGCATTTTTATGTTTAGTTTTAGTTTAATGAAAAGTTTTACGATACTTTCAACCTCGTGAGGTCATATATACGTACCAAAGATTATGTCATATTTATTAGAGGTGTTACAAACGTGTAAAAAACACAAAAAGAGGAGATGAGGACAAAAGATAATGATAAAAGAAAGGAGCAAACCCCACCAGAGCACCCGCCAACCACCCGCGCTATGATTGTAAATGTCACACACACACACACACACACACACACACACACACACACACACACACACACACACACACACACACACACACACGCGCGCGCGCGCGCGCGCGCGCACGCACGCACGCACGCACGCACGCACGCACGCACGCACACACGCGCACGCACGCACACGCGCACGCGCGCGCGCGCACACACACACACACACGCACACTATACATTATTGTATCATGTATGGTTTGTAGGGTAGGGAAGCTTATCGACACAATTACGTTCATATGAGTGCTGGGAAAAAGCATGACTGACAGACAGACAGAAATAATAGAGGAAAAGAGCCAGTGGCGCCCTATTCCAACCACCCGCAGCAACATCGTGTTTGTACTTTACTTTTACTTTACTTTTTCATCCTCTGTTGCCGTAGCGTCGAGGGGAGATGCAGTTTTCTATGGTAGGCCAGCTCCGAAGCTCTTTCAGTTGTGACGTTATGTTTTCTAAGGGTTTCCTTGACACCCTCGATCCACCTTTTGCGTGGCCTTCCTCTTTCTTTATAGCCTGAGTGCTTGGTGTTGTAGGCTTTCAAGGCTGGCTGGTCAGGTGACATGCGTAACAGGTGGCCAAACCGTTTTATCCTCTGTCTTTCTATGTAACGCAGGCAGGACTCAGTGCCGATAGCTGCTCTTACTTCTTCATTTCTCTGCCTGTCTCGTCTTGTGATATTAAGGGTTTTGCGGAGACATTTCATTTCGCATGTGGTGATTTTGCTTTCATGGGTTTTGCTTAAGGTTCAGGTCTGACACCGATAACATAATGTTGGTATGAATATTGAGGTGATAAACTGTTTCTTTGTGTCCATGGAGATGTTTGGATGATATAGAAGGGGTGCGAGCTGGTAGGTGACAGTGTTGGCTTTTTGAGTTCGCTTTTCTATTTCTCTGTCTATGGACCCGTTTTCAGAAAAAGTGCTGCCAAGATATTTAAACTCTTTCACCTGTTTCAGTTGTTTACTATTGACATGGATGTTCAGGGGACTATGGTTTCGGTTCAATTTCATAACTTCTGTTTTTGATGTGCTTATTTTCATGTTGAATTTCTCACAGGTGTTGTTGAGTTCGGTAGTATGATTTTGGAGGCTTTGTTGATCATGATGAATTAGACATTGGTCGTCTGCGAACAGAAAGTCATTTGGGCTTTCTGGGCTTTGGTTTGCTTCTTGCGTTATTGTGTCCATATATATATATATTATAAACAGGAGGGGAGATAGAACGCATCCCTGTCGTACTCCAGATCTTACTTTGAACCAGTCTGTATTTCCTTCCTTCGTTCTTACTGAGCTTCTGCTGTTGGTATATAGAGCTCTGACATTATCTAACAATTGTCCTCTGACGCCATACTTTTCGAGTGTCTTTCAGAGTTTTGCATGGTTCACTCTGTCAAAAGCCTTCTCCTAGTCTATAAAGACGATGTTGGATTCTTTGTTGTGTTCTATTGTTTTCTCGCATATCTGTTGTAATGCGAATACGGCATCTGTACATCCTCTTCCCTTTCGGAATCCAAACTGAGCTTTGCTCAGATTTCTCTCTACAATAGGTCTTATGCTCTGCTCTAGTATCTTTGCATACATTTTTCCTGAAGTGGCTTAACAATGAGATGTCTCTATATGTTGTGCAGTCGCGTTTGTTGCCCTTTTTTCCGTAATGGTACCACTATGGCTTTCTGCCAGTCTTCTGGGCATTTTCTTTGTTTCCAGGCTCTGTTGAAAATACGCCTCAGCCACAGTATACCGGTGTTTCCACAAGCTCTTATAATGGCTTCCGCTGTGATGTCATCTGGTCCCTGGGCTTTGTTCTTGGGGCTGGTCTTGAGTGCCTTTTCTATTCCACTGGGAAGTATTGGTGGTTCTGTTTGATCTCCATAGGATGGTTGGAACTACTTGCTGTCCGTGGCAAGCGTCTGGGTTGAGCAGTTCTTGGAAGTAATTTTCCCATCTTTTCTTGATTGCATGTTTGCCGAGAATGGCGTTTCCCTCTTTATCATTTATAATGCATGTCGGGTTGTATGGGTCTTTCCTTATCCGCATGCTCTTCACACTTTAAAAAAATTCTCTTGGGCTTTCCTTGCAGATTTTGGTCAGTTTCTCGCCATATATTTTCCATTAATTTTCTTTAG